AACCGGCGGTCACAACAACAGTCACTCAGCAAAAGTCTCAAAGTCACGTTGGAGCCAACAAGCGGGCAGTAGCGGTTGTATTTCAGTAAAACAAAATTTTGTACAGCGATGTGACTGATAATGATGGGAAAAAGATGATACTGAGCATGAAAAGGAGCAGTTTACAAGTGCTACAGGCATGCTACCTTCCTCCAAATAGACCTGTTTATCTACAACCGATGGTTTTCTCTGAGACCGACGAGCCTGATAGATTCAGAAGGTTAATGAAATGGTGTCGGTGTTCACAGGATGTTTGATTTGACTATTCTAAAAGGTTCTCGAAGCCCTCTTGTCAGTAAGAACTTCCTCAACCACAATGGCTCTCTTTTATCCAGCAAAGAACGTTCATATTGTTGAGCAGAACACTTCGGTAAGCCACCCGCTATTTCCTATTAACGGAAACGAGGACTTTGATTATGGACCCCACCACTCAAGCCTCACCCGTATCTAAGGAAGACCCACGGTCTTGGTGCTCCATAACTTCAAGCATGTGTGAAACTCTGACTACATTTGCTCAGCAGGAGATGGGACCATGATACAGTACTCATGGTCACACATATTCGGATGTGTAAAAGTGTATGGACACCTCTCTAAGAGCTTCCTCACAGAAATTTATATCCAGTAAGAATGTCCGCTCTCTACATTTCTGTTCAGCTTCTTCATCGGCCTGCTATTGAGTTGAACACCGGTAGGTCTTCAAAACCTCGATAGTTCTGTCGTTTCTGGTGAGAATCTTAGGACTTGGAGTAGGCAGAGGATATTGTCCTTGTCTTTGAAGATGATCACAAAGCACATTCACGGTAGGACAAACTGACTAGCGGCATGCTCTCTTTTGCCGTGTTCCTTTCATCTGTAAAGCATGCTTCGGAAGTCATCTAATGTAAACCGTTTACCATAGGCACATTGGTTCCAGCTGTTGCAGTTTTGATTACCGGATAGTAGAAGAGTGCGGGACATACAGCCAATCCTCGTAAGCGATGACATTTTCAGTTGGTTCTGGGTAGCTACACATTGAAGGTGATAGCTTTGATGCATGAGTGCCACCGACAGTGCGATTGGGCCATTTCTGCCAGTGTCACTAACCTTTGGTGAGTTAAGTCACGGGGTCCCTATCCAGAGAGGCGGCAGTCCTCGACCCGACTAAATTTACTGGTTAGTGTTTTCATACTTCTTTGCCGATCCATACACTGTCCACCTCCTTTCATCACAGAGATGGGCGAAAAGAGCTCTGCAAGGCAGACGGCCGTCTGGTGTGTAGAGTACATGACCTAACCAGACTATTAACCACTTCAAGCAGAAGCACTGGAGACTGCTGTATCTCCATGGTGTAAGTAAGTCCATGAACGAAGACCGAAGGTCCGAGTCGCATTTGTAGCATCAAAAAGGCGTAGCACTGGGTACAAAGTTACAGTAAGGACTGTGTTGTTGTACGACTGCGAGACATAATAATCGTCCAGCTGTAGCACCCTTTTCGGTGCCTAGCTGCCATGCCACACGAAGGAGGCACGAGGGCTGGGATACTGTCAGGTTGCTCAAGCCTAGACAGGGGAAGTCGAGTGGCAGAGGTCGGGTTCGATATCTCAGAAGCATTACTGGTATTGGATGACTTTGATGAATTTGTAACGAGGCAATTAGATAATAGACTTCTGTCCGTGCAGCAGGTATAACACCATCAGTGGTCCAATCGAATCCATGTCTGCCGTACCGTCCTGAGAATGGCGCAAACGATGAGGTTCACGGCGTGTGATAGGACAGGAAGCAGTCTCTTTGTTACTGGGGGATGTTGAAATTCCAGAATGGGGTTTTTGTAACCCTCCATAGTCTTGGTTGGAACCCTGGCAAAGAATGGTGGCCAACCGATGTCAGTGGTGTTTGTATTATCAGTTTTTTTGTTTCCCAGATCGACTCACTGAGCATTCAGAAGTGTAGACACCACCCATGGGGGTTGCAGCTGACTGGCACTAGATCCTTTGTCCGGTCTTTTTTAACCTTTAGGGCTTTAATTATAATTGATTTGGTTGTACGACAGTTAAGCATCCCCGATTATTGTTATTTAGAGAGCTCCGTTCATAGGCTGCACTCGTATCATACCTCATCTTCGGACTGTTTCTCACAGTGTATCCCCCTCTTGTTTCAGACATTACCTGTTGTTCTTTCTGGTTTGTGCTGCCTACTGATGTTATTGCGAACACAATTCATGTGTCTGGTTTTCGCCTACGAATCCTGGCCTCTTGCTTTCACTGCAGCCCTGTTTTCTGTCTATGAACACCTGGTTGACTGCCTGAGCCACTTGAAATCATTTAGTCAGCGGACGTTTTACGTTATTTGAAGACCCTTTTTTGCCCTTCCACTCTCTATGTTTGTGACCGTAGTTTAATGCTGTGATACCTTCTTTCCAGCTTTAAATGCCTACCTAATCGTTGGCTGAAGATGACACATATGTAATGCATTCTCCAGAGTTTTATTTCCGGTCCCAAAATAATTCATTTACTTCAACGGCTGATTGTTATTCGAAACCTCAAGGTCACCCTCGACCGACTTCTGATGCCCGGGTAAGCCAAATCCTGTGTATTTTGTCTGTTCTCTACCGCTGATCGTTGAGCGAAAACACGATGCCATATTCTGATACTATGGGGCTGGAGTCAGTTCATTATTTAATGTCCAAGATGGCTCAAGTGGTTAGAGCGCGAATTTGCTGACCGGAAGGTCCTTGGTTCGAACCCGACCTCTGCCTCTCGACTTCATCTGTCTGGGCCTGGGAAACCTGGCAGTATCCCAGCCCTCGTGTTCCCCTCGGGTGCTATGGCAACTAGGAGCCGGAAGGGTGTTACAACTGAACGATTATCTTCTTTTTTTAATCTTTTTGATTTAATCACGTGCTACTGATTCCATGGTCCGAATCTTGCCCTAGATTTTCGACTCTTGTTTAGGCTGACAACATTTCAATTGTCGTTAATTTTTCAGGTTACTTCGTGGCTAAATGTCGAAAGGATGGATTCCTAGTTAAACACTTTTTTTTACCATACTAGCTGTTGAGATACTTTTTGGTTCTTCGCAGGTTACCAGTCTCTCTTTGGCTCACCTGTGACTGCAATATACGCCCACCGGTTGATATGACATCGATATATGTTTGCAAACTAAACTGGCAACCACTTGCGAGCAACTTTTCGTGCCATTTCCTCTCGTTACTCTTCGTTGTTATCAATTCGACCCCATCGTTCAGATTAATTGTGGATGTGCGACTGCGGATTTTCAGGTTGCGGTTTTTATTTTATTCGTTTTTCCTCGGTAATTCAATATCCACACGAGCAAAATTGTCGCCGAACAGGTGGTTGATGATTTTGTTGTTCTTTTTATCACCACAACAGCAGCATTGAGCCAACTTTTTCGAATGCTTCGAATGCACAGTCTTACTGCTTGCAATGGGCAGGAGACAACGCAGCACCTGACTTTCAAAACACGTTCACTTGACTAGGCAAGCGCTGTATGCTAATGTGACTGTTGCAATCGCTTCGGTTAGGTGAAGCACCATCCTGATATCGTTTGAAATCAGGAAGCTCACATTCGATAATGAAACCTAAACTAGGAGCTAGAGGCTGTACTTGCAACGTATTTTCATTATTATTGTCATTATTATTATTATTATTATTATTATTATTATTATTATTGTCATCAACTGGGTAGTAACAAGCTCGTGTCACAGTCATCGGACTGCTTTCTGCCCATCCTTTACAAGGGATCCGGTGTGTACCGCATAGTCGCAGCGCACGTCTTGGATTATGGAAGTTTACAAATCGACAGATCAGGATTGCAGATCGTGATAGCCTCTTTGATCCTATCCCATGTGCACCACCTGTATAATGATGATCGGTTTCTTTGTCAATTTTCTTGTCCAGCTGTAGCACCCTTTCGTTGCCTAGCTGACATGCCACCCGAAGGTTGCACTAGGGTTTGGATACTGCCAGGTTGCCCAAGCCTAGAGACAGGCAAAGTCAATAGGCATAGAGGTCGGGTTCGAAACACGGACCTTCCGGTTAGCGAATTCGCGCTCTAACCACTGGGGCCATCTCTCTCCCTTTGTCAATGTCGCAACCCAGTGTCTCACTATCACGTCCATCCAAATGTGGACACATCCTTATTGACTGTGTCAATTTTATGCGTGTTCGTTATTCATCTTGCTGTGATTTTTTGTGTGCCCTTCAGTGATGTTTTCCTCAGAATTCGGTGATCTTTTCAACGGTACAATAGATGGTGGGAGTCAGTTGTCATCATCAGATTTATCGATGACTTCCAGTCTCACTTTGCTGCGTAACGTTTCCGCAGCTCCGCCGTCCGGTTCCTTAGCACCAGTAACAACAACAACGGCAATTATTAATCCTGAGCGAGCATCTCCTTCCGGTGGTTGTACCGGCGCAGCACAACTTCCTTCCGCCGCAGATCCACACACTCTAGAGCATTTGTTTCGACCAGACTTGCACCACCTCCGTCCCGATAGTCAAAGTGCGCTTACCTCTACTTTGGCGATCCCCGACTCAAGTCCTTATCCGGATGTATCCAAAAGACACACAACTATGAAGAAAGAGCAACGGCCCGTCACTGAGCATGCGTCTTTGTCATCTTCGGCAGCGGGGAAGTTGAATTCAACGAACGCGGCCGTTGCGTTTCCTGCACAAACCTCTCATGCACGTGGCACACTTCGCTGTCCGTTTTGCGATAAGGTATGTGTAACCTCAACCTATCGGTATCCTTCATAGTTGTTTGTTTATTCATGGTATGCATTCAGGCTCGTCTTGATCACCTGAATCCGAGATGAATTAAACTCTCAGCTTTGATCAATCTGACTTGGAACACATAGGAAGACTGTGGCCTGCTTAACGAACATCGTAGACGAAAGATTCAGTTGGGTCTTTCGTGAAAAAGGTACACAAATGAGTGTGTTTCGCGGACTGCTCACTCCGGAGTCCATCTTGAAGTGGTACGAGCTTTCGACTGACAGTGACCGTGATTCATCCCTGGCTCCTCGATCACTCTCCCAGATACCTAAGTTTTATTGTAGTGAATGTCTTGGAAACTGTCAGGGAGTTTCCATTCTTTGCTTACGGAAGACTTCATATTCAGGACGAAGACCAAACGCCGTTGTCTGTCGCTTTTCACAGTCTTGTCTTAACTGTTTAACTGTGATTTAAGCCCATCTAGAACATTTGTCTTAGGTGACGATTGCCTACTGAAGACAGCTTACCTTTTCGCTTGAACCTCACTAGAGAACTTTGAATGAATATCGGATTGAATATTGTGGCAGGCTATCCGCCGCCCGAAGAGCGTATCATTTAGAAACCGGTTTTCATTGGCTCTCGGTGCCTTGCCCGTCTACTGTAGAAAGCTCAATGGAGAACCTCAGGTGCCTTTTCAGCTATATTCCTCCCTCCACCTAAGCTTGCGCGACGTGTCGTATACTCAAGTGAACATATACGTGTCTGTGGAGGAAAATGTTGATAGCTCAGTTAGGGTAGCTGGTCGTTGGCTTGTTCGCTAGCTAACCCACCTCTGCGCACCACTACGCTCCCCAACAAGGCACTGATGATGTTACCTCGATTGGTGATGAGATGTTTGCAATCAAATTGTCCAGCTCAGCGAACAAGCCAACGACCACCAAATACGTGTCTGCTTCAGCATCTTCTGTGGCATGCGGACCTGCTTTCGTGAATGTATACTTGGTTCCTTACGATCGACTCATAAAAAGGAAATGTTCCAAGTCACGATCCTGTGCACGACATCGCAAAAGAAGCCAAATAACACCGTTTTTCGCAGTAACTTTTGTCCAGCCGAGGGAAGACTGTACAAGTTGGAAGTTGATGCACTGCTCATCTGTTAGGAGGGAACCACCTTGAGGCCGGAGAAACAACTCAGCACAGACTGACAGGCACTCCGGATTCTTAAGAAAGCTTGAACTGCTGGATAAAGCTTCACAAAAATGGTCTGTATGTGACCTGGAAACGTCCCAACTGTTGATCCTTAGCTTGTTATCCCATTCTCTGTGTAGCACCGTAGCTTGAGATTGTCTTTTGAGGGAACAATTGAGGATTGCTACAGCTTCATTTATGGAGTGATCTCAGGATTTCCCACAAGGAAATTCCAAAATTTCTAATTGGCCCATTTTCTAGCCAATGGATGCATGTCCAGCTTTGATTCCGGCAAAACCATCCAGTGGACCTGATGTTCGGTTATTTCGCGCTGCCAGCCACCCGACACTAACGTGTAGTAGTAGAAAAAAGGTCGACGTAGCTGAATTCAAGTCATCAACAGGAGATGCAACTGCTGGAATGAAAAACGCATTGGACTCTTGGAATAACAAAGCATGATTGATCGTTATTTAGCAGAGCAACATTCCTGTTTAAGATGGTCGCTGAAGAGTACGTGTGAAACGGTTCCAGTGCCGAAACTTTCCAAACAGACTAAGGCTATGCTTCGTTGCTTGGGAAGCTTTAGTCACCAGGCGAGTTCCCCATGTATGAATGCACGTTGCTTCCGTTTGATTAATCCGCGACCAGGTTTGAGTCACATTGAAAATAATAGCCAACTTGCCCCGAGTGATATTGCTCTACCAAACAGGCGCGAGAATTCTTAGCCACAGAAACTGGTTGCTGTTGCTGTATCCTTGTTATATGGAGCGGTCAAACACACATGTTCTATCGACATCAGCTGTATACACAGTGTTTCTACTGTTCTTGATCCGAGCGGGGGTAATACAGGCGTGGTCAAGGGAATAGATGTGGCCGAAAGTTAAAACAACAGTGATGTTACTACAGAAAACGCGGTGCAGAGTTACAATCCACGTACAGGTGAGTAAAATGAAGCATCATAGAGTATTCCGTTACTAACTAGAGTGCTTAATCGAAAAGTTAGACTCCACAGTCACTACAGTTGCGGCAGTTCCTTCCAACATCGTTTTGAAATTGGACTGCATGTCAGACGTGGAACTAGGCTTTTCTGGTTTGACATGTGGAGTTTGTGGTATGCAGTTTAACGTCTGAGCGAACGGTACATTCCTTAACAGCGATATTGGTTAGAGTGCAACACTGAAACCAAGCCATCGATACAGTCTTTCTCTTTAGGCGAAAAGTCAGGAGACAGATAGATAGATACATTATGGAAGACTGCGTGCGATAGTGGGTTTAAACATGAAGGACCCGGGGATCGGACCTCTCATTTTCACGTAGTGGGAAAGTCTTTCCGAATTGCCAAACACCAGTTCGACATAGTCGGATTAGAAAGAGCCATGGGACGAAGTTTTATTGTGATGAGAGGGAGGGAACCTGATCGTCGGGACTGGTGTCACGAATCAATGAAACGGCCGAAACGAACATCAAAGCGCTGTAGTATAGCGGCATGAAAAATATTATGGAGGTGTACAGTAAAACCTTTCCGAGTTTCGGAAAGCGCTTGGAAAACAGTAGTTACTTTACGTAATCGACAACAACATCAGCATACTTGCGACAGGTGTCTGTGACCTAAAGAAATTAGGAGGAACATAGTTTCTCAGAGCAGAATGGCAGTTAGTGCGAAGCGGCGCATAGCCCTGTCCATGGTTACCGAAATCGCGCATGTTTTTGTAGACATGGTAACCAAGTTCATTGTCCGTACACAATCCTGATTTAGAATACTGTCATCATCACATCGGCAATGTTCCACACTGAGGCTTCGCTGCCACACGGCCATAATTTGTTTTTGACGAAAAGAAGAAAAATAGATATGGAAGGAACTTAGTGCCTGTCTACCACAACCATTCCGAGGTGCCTACATCTCCAGACAATCAACCTCAGACACTCGGAATAGAAACTGTCAATAAGAGTGCCATTGATATCGATGGGAATCCATATATTATACAGCCTCGCCAACCGTGTACAGCGGGGACCACGCGGTCCCCATCCTCGAAGGCGAGTTGCACCAACAGCCCCCCAAACATTTCGTAATCTCTCATACCCCTTCGCCCGGTCAAGGGTTGGTCACCTCTCTGCTTCCGCCACTCTGAATTGAGCACAGAAAACGGCACTCTCTTCGGCAAACGATGATTCTGCATACGCAATACCTGGCCTAGCCACCGGAGCTTCTGGTTCTGGACACTTCGACTGGACTTCCCGTTGCACATCCGTTATTACCGCATTCTGGGTTCACCGGTATCAGCCTACAGGAGCTATGGTTCTGAGACAACGGCTGTCAACAACCTGGAGATGTCCTAGTTCCGCCACTCCCAAAGGCAGCTTCTAAATATTGTCGGCGTTGTTGCAGTTGACCAACGCTAGTGTGAATGCAGAAGCGTTGGTGCAATCCAAACAACCCAGAGGAAAGAACGCTGCATTAGGGAGAGGCAGAATTAAGCTGTCTTCGAAGGAAGTGTGAATAGTGTACATCATCAGTGTTCCACGTTAACCACCATCTCTTACTCGCTCCTGCTGAAGAGACGCCAGCCTTTTCGAGGAGAGTCAGTACTGATTGATCTTGAGGCATTTCGGTGAAAAGATAAAAAAAAAAGATAAAGCGTTCAGCTGTAGCACCCTTCCGGTGCCTAGCTGCCATGCCACCCGAAGGAAGCACGAGGGCTGGGATACTGCCAGGTTGCCCAAGCCNGCCCTGTCCCTGGTTACCGAAAACGCGCATGTTTTTGTAGACATGGTAACCAAGTTCATTGTCCGTACACAATCCTGATTTAGAATACTGTCATCATCACATCGGCAATGTTCGACACTGAGGCTTCGCTGCCACACGGCCATAATTTGTTTTTGACGAAAAGAAGAAAAATAGATATGGAAGGAACTTAGTGCCTGTCTACCACAACCATTCCGAGGTGCCTACATCTCCAGACAATCAACCTCAGACACTCGGAATAGAAACTGTCAATAAGAGTGCCATTGATATCGATGGGAATCCATATATTATACAGCCTCGCCAACCGTGTACAGCGGGGACCACGCGGTCCCCATCCTCGAAGGCGAGTTGCACCAACAGCCCCCCAAACATTTCGTAATCTCTCATACCCCTTCGCCCGGTCAAGGGTTGGTCACCTCTCTGCTTCCGCCACTCTGAATTGAGCACAGAAAACGGCACTCTCTTCGGCAAACGATGATTCTGCATACGCAATACCTGGCCTAGCCACCGGAGCTTCTGGTTCTGGACACTTCGACTGGACTTCCCGTTGCACATCCGTTATTACCGCATTCTGGGTTCACCGGTATCAGCCTACAGGAGCTATGGTTCTGAGACAACGGCTGTCAACAACCTGGAGATGTCCTAGTTCCGCCACTCCCAAAGGCAGCTTCTAAATATTGTCGGCGTTGTTGCAGTTGACCAACGCTAGTGTGAATGCAGAAGCGTTGGTGCAATCCAAACAACCCAGAGGAAAGAACGCTGCATTAGGGAGAGGCAGAATTAAGCTGTCTTCGAAGGAAGTGTGAATAGTGTACATCATCAGTGTTCCACGTTAACCACCATCTCTTACTCGCTCCTGCTGAAGAGACGCCAGCCTTTTCGAGGAGAGTCAGTACTGATTGATCTTGAGGCATTTCGGTGAAAAGATAAAAAAAAAAGATAAAGCGTTCAGCTGTAGCACCCTTCCGGTGCCTAGCTGCCATGCCACCCGAAGGAAGCACGAGGGCTGGGATACTGCCAGGTTGCCCAAGCCTAGACAGGGGAAGTCGAGTGGCGGAGGTCGGATTCGAACCGCGGACCTTCAGGTTAGTAATCCGCGCTCTAACCACTTCGGCCATCTCGCCCCAAGCTATGTAGCTCCTGGCCTGAAAGTCTGTGTGTTTCGAACTCAAACTTGTCATTCTCCACTGCTCCCTTCTTTTGGTATCTCAGCCTTCTTGTTTCCATAGAACTGCATGGTAGCTCCATAGCAAAGAGTTGCCACACCTTTGGGATTTACTGTGTGCCTTGAAATCACCACAGGTGCGGTTCACAAAGGCGTGGTGGCGTTTACATGAGTGACTACGTTATCGATGACTACTTATTAGTAGTATAAACCGGTGTCCTTAATTAAGGCAACGCGTAGCAAACCTTGGCGAAACCCTGAGGTTTTAATCAGGTTTATTGTTCTGAAGCAAAGTTACTGGTGACTGCTTCGAAGGAAATCGTCCAAAGGATGCCGCTGTTGGCGAGGAACGACTTCAATCAGCTTGAGTATTGCTTCTATGTAGGTGTAATTCCGATGGCGGCGAATCCAATAGCTGCGCGCACAGATAAGACCAAACGAAACGGGTTCTCTCATAGCGTGGTTGCTGAATCTCCGAGCAGAGACAATGTGAGCTCATGTAGGCAAGTTATTTGGCAAACTTATCCAGCTCATAAAAATCAGATGGAACAGATGTACAAACACTGACTAATCGAATAGCATATTCGAGAAGTGTTAACGCTAGACCAGCTTGTCATTCGCTGATTCACCTTCCCTTTCCTTCCCTCTCCTGCAACAGGTATTCAGCAACTCCAGCGCGATCGCGAAACACAAGCTTACTCACAGCGAGGAACGTAAATATGTATGCTCCATTTGTCACAAGGCCTTCAAACGCCAAGACCATCTGTAAGCTGTGTGATCACCCTCCTCTCTTCTACCTTAGATATGTTTGTTTGTACTCATAAGTGTCGTCACGTGTTCACGCCAGTTAGTGTTTTTTTCACTCTTATCCGGAAAACCTCACATTGAGAGGGTCGTCGACATGCTCAATCATACGATAACCAACACGTGATACACGTGATTATCTGCTCCCTCTCCCCACCTGTCATAAAACGCTCATTGATTATTGAATGCTCGATAAGTGACCGGAATCCCCCTCATCTTGTACACTGCGGTGTACTTTTCACTCGCACATACCGTAGGAACCATAGGAATTGTGAACCGCAAGTGTGCGTGATTCAGGCCACTTTGTGTTGAGCTTTTTCACGCACGCATTCTCGCACACACACACCACTTGCGGTGGTCATTGTTAGTGCTGACGATGACCATAGTGTATGAAAAATATTTTATCAGAGAGAGACTCAGGCGAATTTCAGCAAAGCCCCTTGGTTGACATCCGCTTAACTTGTAAATGTGTGTTTATTTGATGTCCAGTTAGGCAGTAAGCTCGACGAAGTTTAGGCCCCAGGATGTAAGAAACCACTCTTGAGCTGTTCAGAGTTTTCATCGACCGCTTGAGTGGTACTCAAGGTGTGTACTGCTCCTATATGAATGATGCTAGTTTAGTATGACCGGTTGAATTATGATTATTTTCATTTTATGGTTCATCGGTGTGTCCTTTGCTCTTCCCCCGTGACATATCTTCACACAAGGAGACCTGTCTCGTCTACTTGGTCTGTGGTTCGAACCCGACATCAGTATCTTGTCTAGGCTTGGGCCACCTGGCAGTATCTTAGTCGTCGCGATTCCCTCAGGTCGCATTTCAGCCAGGCGCCAAAAAGGGTATTACAGCTGAACAGTTATATCATCATTTTCTATCATCACCAATGACAGCAATGCACCAGTAATACATACTGATGGAGCTTTCTTTCTGCAGCTCCTCTGTCTTGAGAACGTGAGAAGCACTGTGCAAGCTGTCCCATCTTTATTGGGAATCATCAGCAGTGCGCAACATCTCACGGAACTGCAGTAGGGTAGTTCGAACGTGCAACCGTTTGTAAGCACTGTGAAGCTGTCCCATCTTTATTGGGAATCATCAGCAGTGCGCAACATCTCACGGAACTGCAGTAGGGTAGTTCGAACGTGCAACCGTTTGTCCAGGAGCACCTGACTTGGCACTTAGACGGGACATGGCTCCACTCGTAATCCTCGGATCTACATCACGTGACTGGCTTCTCAGGTGGAAGATTTACTAGCCCATGGTCTGCTTATAAGCCGTTAGTAGTGTGAGGAGACTTGGGAATTTTTTAATGATTTCGTCCCGCAATCGATTCGATGAAAGGTACTGGATACCCTTGCTTAGCAAACGCACTGATACATTGTAATTTGTGATGTTTGTCTCTGTCCTTCGTTTGTTCCTTTGTGCCCTCTTCACGCGTACCACCGAAGCACTCGCACACCCATTTGTTTTGTTGATTTAATTGTCAAAACCCTAAAATCTCAGTCTTTTTGACTGCCACTGGCGTGTGCAGTTTGGGGAGGTTGTCAAAGAACGAGGGAGAATACGACGTGTCCGTGTGGATTCGACACTCGAACATCACTTCGAGAAGTGACTAGGTGCCCAAATGTTTTAGTGAAGACCTATTAAACTGCAAGCGAAGAAAGACCGGGTTTGAGGGTATCGTCAGCTAAGCCCTAATTCAGATGTAGCGGTCTTCTAGGAAGGTCAGCGCATTGCCTAGCCACAAGACACCTATCTTCGAAGCGAATAATCACTGTCGGTATCCGCTCTAGTTAAGTAGTTCTACTATTATCCTTACCTACCAATTTTACTCCATCATCTGTTCGGCTTATACACCTGTTCTATAACTCACCCGAATCCTCTTTCATTTAGGAACGGTCACAAGTACACGCACGAATCGAAGAAACCTCACGCTTGTCACTTTTGTGAGAAGTCTTACAGTGACGCTCGATCTCTGCGTCGACATTACGAGAACGCCCACCCAGAGGAATACGAACGTTGGCTTATCTTGTCTCAGGCTACGAATGGTGATCCCAGCGCCATAACGGTGGCCGCGGTCGCTCTTCTCTCCTCGTCTGGCTTGGTCGATAAAGAAGAACCGGGAAGTGCACGGGAATTGAACGTTACCACCAACAGCAGCAACATTGGTGAGAATGCCCATAACGGTAGTGCTGCGGGGGGTCAGACCTCGGATGCACTTCCTCCTGATCCGAGTGCGTTACTCAGTGCACTGAGCAGTCCCGTTTGCAAGCTGCTGGCGTCCAGTTTGAGTCGTGCTGCGGCGCAGAACAAAACAGATGACTCTCCTGCGTCCAGTATCACTATCGATGGACAAGGTAATGTTTCGTCGACGTTATTAAAAAAAAGTCTTATTATTCCCATTCCTTGAGATTATAGTCAATGGTGGGCCCCTGTCTGGAAGGTGATCTGCCTTGTTTATCTGTCATTTGTAATGTTTTGCCTTTATCCAAGGACTTGTCACTCAAAAGACAAAGCAGATAGCGGTTCTGTTGCTGTTTTTGGTTTGATCAACGTCTCGGTGAATGAATGAACTTGCCTCACTTTTCGCGCTTGATATTTAAGAAATCGTCTCTGACAACAGAATTTTGGATTATTGATAGGCAAACTCACTCGTGTTGGAAACTATTGTCTCTGGAGTTCAATATCGCTAGAAAAGGAACACTAATGAAACACGGTCCAATCAGTGGACGCAACTGAATCATTATCTTCAGTGCGTGGTTGTACAGCTTCCCATCCCACTTGACAACTACGTTTAGTTAGGACCAGCGAAGTAGCTAGTTCCCCTTCGGTGAACGAAATTTCACTGGCTTCAGTGAACATCCCCTCACTATATGTTTCATACCTGACATGCCGTAGCACACACATAATTACGTCACTGAATATAACGACGCCAAGTGCATTCCTGTTTCATCATCCGCCTCGTTATCGATCTCTCAAAGACACCCCGAAATCACCTCATCACAGCCGTACAACAGTGCACACAGTGCAACCATGTGGATGCAATCTTCCGTGTGCCCCCAAGCCGTATTCGTTCATTGGTTAGCGACTTGTGCACTGAGTTTATCTGAAGGGAGGGAGACAACCAAATCCCGGAGATTTCCTTCTACGAGGGGACGGGTTTTTAGGCATTGGTTTCCCAGCTTGATCGAAGCTTGTCTGGCGCACGCAGAGTTGAGCACAGAATGTCTTTGTCACCGGCTATGATCAACATGAGTGGAGTACACTACAGCCATAAAAAGAATCGTTCAACTGTAACACCCTTTCAGTGCCTAGCTGCCATGCAACCTGAGGGAAGCACCTGGGCTGAGATACTGCCAGGTTACCCAAGCCTAGACTGGGGAAGTCGAGAGGCGGAGGTCGGGTCCGAACCACGGACCTTCCGGCCAGTAAGTTCACGCACTAACCGCTTGAGCCATCTCGCCCCATAGCGTTTGTTTGTTAGAAGAGCAACTTTCCAGCTGCTGTTAAGTTCCCTGGGCGATGCTCACAAAGTTGTCTCATTAACCAGGTGAGTGACACCAAGTTTAAAGTAAGGCATTTGTCGTTCACGCTCGTTGATCATTGGTTAGAGATCTGCTGACTAACAGAGTGGAGCGTAGGTCGCGACTTGCTCCACAAAATTGTAGGTTGCTCTGACGATCTTGCATCAACTTCCGCTGCCGTGCATCGCCGTCATCATCATCAGTTGTAATAACCGTGTGCTTGCTGTACGGTAGTTATAGGTGACTAAGTTTCGTTCACCGATGATAGCCGCGCATTGGAAGCGGTAAATGAATATAATTGTTGCGTATATGTAGGACTGTCAGTGGACTGTTAAGTGAGGGGATTGGGAAAGGAGCTATGCATTGAAGGCAATAGCTTGTATGCACGAGTGCCATTAAGGGTCCCAACCCAACCTCTGCCTCTCGACTTCCCCTGTCTAGGCTTGGACAACCTGGTAGTATCTCAGCCCTCGTACAACCCTCGGGCGGCATGGCAGTTAGCCACTGAAAGCGAAAGAGTATTTATTAACTGTTAATCATATGCAATGATTGTGAAACTCATTATGGTGTTGACTGACGAGAACAGTCGCATCGTGTCAAATGGAAAACTGTTCGTATTTTTCCCGAAACAGTACGAAATTAGTTCTGGTGACAATCCTGAGCATCAGATAATCATTTCTCTGGTCCTTTTTGAAAGGTAATCGTATCCAGCCTTACGGGGCGAGATGAAACAAGTGGTTAAAGCGCGAATTTACTGACCAGAAGGACTGTGGTTCGAACCCGACCTCTGCCTCCCGACTTGCCCTGTTCTAGGCTGGGCAGCCAGGCAGTATCCCAGCCCTCGTGCTTCCTTCATGGGGCATGGCAGCTAGGCACCGAAAGGGTGCTACAGCCAAACGATTTTATTTTTTTATCCAACCTTGCAAATTAGGGATTTTCCTTGAATCGGAAGACCCACGGGCATGCTGTGTAACTGAGACTGACCTGTCCTCGACTTCCTGTCCTGTGTAGAGGGTGAAATGGCCCAAGTGGTCAGAGCGCGAATTTACTGACCAGAAGGTCTGTGTTTCGAACCCAACCTCTGCCTCTTGACTTCACCTGTCTAGGCTTGGACATCCTGACAGTAGCCCAGACATCGTGGTACCCTCGGGTGGTATGGCAGTTAGGTACTGAAAGGGTGCTACAGCTGAACATTTTTTCTTGTCTTGTGCCCTCTTAAGCTACTACTCCCATCACCCTCGTTCTTCTCGAAGAAACTCGCGCTTTGGGGCCAAGTGTTGATTCTAGATTGACATGTTGATTGTGCGCGTTACGCCTCGGATGATACGCAGTGACGAAACGATCGTTCGGGTTTGATGACAAACGTGATGTAACAATACCTTTGTTAAGTATCCCGATACGGAACTTTGAGTGACGCGTAGGTTCAACAATCCCGAATATCAAAAGGAAGAATTGGGTTCGTAATTCTACGGTACTATTCACACAAGGGTAAGCAAATGTGTACAACAAACCTCAAATGATCGAGTTCGTAGCGTTAACACGTTCACAAGTCTGTCACTGACCGGCACAGTGCAGTGTCAACGGCCGCACACCAAACAACGGCGAGCGGAATGACGGCTCAGAAGCGTGGGTTGTAGTCGTTCCTTCCGACGACGGTCGCGTGATTCTCATTGGACGTGCGATCACGCGGAGCCCATGTGAAAACATGTCAAGGCAGGCCCAGCAAACGAGACACGAACGCACTTGGATAAGTAGGTCAGCAGCGCACATTCACGCACAGACACACATGTCAATGTACAAGTGTCAGAAAGGACGGCCTCTGTGGCAAGGTGAGTGGCGGGTCCGAATAAGCAAAACAACCGGAGGACAAAAGTACATAGGCGGGGTAAGCAGATGAATGGGGGAATTATCATAAGATCAAGTTAGATTCAACAACCTTAAATTGCACTTCGGTTTCAGCATTCTGGTTGTAGTGATCAGTCGGTGTTCAAACTGCACCGACGCATTGGTGTGTGGAAATTATGGGGAATCCAAACGACAACAGCAAGTTCACCTCGTCCTTTCCATAGCTCCCCAGGTGCAGCCGGTCAGTTCAGGGCGGAAACTAACTGTCGGCTAATCGAAAGAATATCGAAGCAGGAAGCTTCCTCGTTTGGTGAACATCGAGATTTGTGTGATCGATTAGGCTGTGCTATTTGCACTACTGCGTTCAGGTGCGACAGCATATGGATCCATTTGTCCCTATTTAGCTCGACTCTGCTATGAGCAACCATTTGCGTTCATTATGCAGTCATACTCAACTACCTTCCCCGTTTGGAAACCATATTGTATCTGGAAATCATGCTCTTTTTTTAGACATAGGTGTTTAAATTAAATTTTCTACCCTGTTGTTATCGTCCGGCCTTGCTGTATCACCGCATCGTTCGTCCGCGTTGCAGCTGGGCCAGCTGTGATTCTTACGCACTCTTTATCCGGTTGTGTTGTGTCGTATTTTCTGCATGATTAGTGTCACCAGGGGATACAACGATGTGTTTCCCTCATGGCACTATGACAACTCATTCATTCATTCATGGTTAACAATCACGTCTGGCATGCCACAAAACTCCGAGACTTGTGTAGTTCAGCAAAACCCTAAAACCCGATACGCTCTTGACAAATTGAACATGTATCGGTTGCAAGTGAATTTGTACGCGCTGCTTGACGCCTCGCCGCTCCTGTTTGGACATGCTCCTTCAGTTAGTTTACAGTGTGTGCGCCTGGTTGCATAGAGGCGCGCGATCGGATTGGCTGGCGTTCTTGTTGAAACACAACTACGGAAGGCGAACCGCACTGCGACCAAAGTTTGCTGACTAACATAGGTCAGGGGGTGGTACGGATTATCCTGCATTGACGTCTGGCTTGCTCTTTCCATTTTTCGTCGATCAACGAACCTATCCACTGGAAACACAGATAAAAGAATTAGCTGAGAAGTTGTGTCGATCCCTTTGTACCTGCCTGATAAGTCACAGCAAGGACGGTCAAAGGGCCGTTAGTGTTTTGCCATCGGTCACCGAATCATTGTTTTTACTTGTCGGGGACTCGTACGTGGCAGATGGGCTGATGTAACCCTACACACTGCACGGACTTGGTTGTCTTTCGCATCCCAGGAGACCGGCGCTGCTCCACAGAGCCCTTTTTTCTCAAGAGAAAGAGCGCCGTGGATCAACTAAATTCGCGGTTCTGTTTCGTGCGATGACTTCTCTTCAAGACTGCAGTTTATCACCTAGTATCCGTGTCCTGGAAATCTGTGCATTATTGGCCTTCTTAATGAAACACTCACTGACAGGCGGCCCAGTTTGTCTCCTGACATGAGTATGGTGCAGCCCGCATAAAATTTCTCCAAAATTTACCGGAAGTTTTAAGCTGACTCAGCAAAACAAGTATATTCCAATAGCCGGTGAACTGAGAAGTGTTCATCCAGACAAGAAAGATTTGAACTCATACTCGACTGCCATCGTCATCACTGGCGACAACAGCAATACGCCGGTAGTGGAAACGTTTTGTTGAACTGCCTTTAAACCACGGGCCAGTTGTATTGCATTTCTTAGGAAGGTGTGAAAATCTTACAGCGCTTAGGTTGACAGTGATCACATCCTTTTTGCATCACTACATCATAATCTGTCCTTCGCGAACCTTCCGCCAACAACGCTTTGGAATGGAAAACAAAGTGTTCTCTCCGATGACGTAAGTTGGCACTTGTCAGTCATTCCCTGGTGACGTGTACGCGGACCTCATCTCTCAGGGTACAGCCACGGCTTATGTATCTGCCAAGTGAAGTATACTTACCAACAGAA